ATAAACCACGAACGAAACATATAATGTTCAACACAATAAACTGACTGATCTACTCTCATATTCATTCAATCGTTTATTATAAACAACAGAATCGACGTGTTGTGTGACGTCATAACAACCCTAAGTCTTCTGAGATGTTTATCGACTCTGTCAGCAGCTCAAATTATATGACGTCGAATGGTTGGGCAGTCGGTGATTGGTGAATTGGTTAAGGATTTGGAGCGATTTGGCCCAATTTGAGGTGCAATTCCATCATGTCAAAACTACGAAAACCTAGGACAAGACAGCAGACTCCCAAGCCGAGATTCTAACCGGATATCTTCAGAATACGAATCCTGGGCATTACCGATACGCTAAACCGCTGGGTGTGGTACATATAACAACCACTGTACCCTAAGGAAAGTGAAGGGCCAGAGTCAAAGACAACTAGTTCATTATTGGAGCTAACCAAATGCAACAGGTCAAATAACATTAGACGATCGATCTGTGTTGGGAGTGGAGGCGCGAAATGGAACAGCGCCTGACGTCCATGCGGAGTGTCTCAATGGGTCTTCAGCATCTGAGAAACTGCGCTATTGAGACAGAGTGGCGTAGACTGTCACGTCATCTTTTCAAAATTACTGAATTCTATTTCCAAGGCGCGACGCGAACCAAAATCGCAATACAGAAACCGGCAAGTGTGGGTCTCCGGCACGGGTTAGCAAACTACGGTCCTCGAACCGGATTCGGCTCGTGGGTCGCAGTTTGCCTGCCACTCCTATGTATCCGGCGGACGAAAATTTTCCTGTATTATTTTTAATTTACAGAGTAAATCCTCACTAATCCGGTTACAGGTAACCTGCGTCTAACTATGAAAAAAAATTAAAAATTCTGTTCACAGTTGAGTACGTACTTTAAAAGGACGCGTGACATTTAGGAGCAAGAGGGGTTAGAGCACGAGGACTTTCAGGCTGTGTTGAGGGCAGCTGGAGAGACTGAAACCACGCAAGAAAATATCCAAGATTGGCTTCAGCTGGATGAAGGAGACCCGGGATTTCAGCTTCTGACAGAGGAAGAAATTGCTGCAGTAATATTTTTTTATTTCCATCAGTACTACCTACATTATTAAAATAAAAAAAGTAAAACTATCCCTGTAACAGGCCGTGAAGGCCCATAGGGTTATGAGACGTTGAGTGTCCCACATTATCTAGACCAGGCATGTCCAGCTTCAAACAGGTTGTGACCGACTTTTTAGTGTCAAAACTGCCAGTGATCTACCACCCCCTTCAATCGTCGTACCTCGCTTTAAGTAAAAATATTGGTAAAAATAACATGACACATGATGTTTGTTGTAAAAGCAAAATACATTGAAAGTACAGACTACTATAACACGTATCTTCACTTCAAAATCTGAATATAATCATATTGTATTACAAATGAATTTACATGGTTTTCACGTATAATTTCCTTATAGGCCTATGAGATCGGCCAAAAATCGTCCCACGATCGACCGGTCGGTCGCGATTGACGCGTTGGACATGCCTGCTATATACAATCGGTAGGACTCCTTGGACAGGGGATCGGCCCGTCGCAATGCCGCCACCTACACATAGAATAAACGCACACAGACATCCATGCCTCGAGTGAGATTCGAAAGCACGATCCCAGTGTTCGAGTGAGCGAAGACAGTTCATGCCTTAGACGGCGCGTCCACTGTGATCATACCCCCCCCCCAAAAAAAAATACCAGAAATCTCGCTGGAAAAAGCGCGGGGACCTTCTTCCGTAAAATTGCCTACTGAGGAGTCGGGATAGCTCAGTCGGTATAGCGACTGGCTACGGGCTGCACGGCCGAAGGGTCGGGGTTTGAGTCCTGGTAGGATCAAGAATTTTCTCTCCTCCACGTCGTCCAGGCCGACTCTGCGGTTCACGTAGCCTCCTATACAATGTGTACAGGTGGCTCTTTCCCCGAGGGTAAAGCGGCCGGTGCGCGAAGCTGACCACTCACCTCCAAATAGTGTCGAGGTGAAGAATACGTTGATCTATACAGTCACGCCCCCATACGCCTTCATGGCTTAGTGCTTAATTAGTTAACCATAGGGACAACTTTATAGTAAAGGTGAAAGTGTAGCGTGCCCGTGTTTAATGAGTAAAGCACCACGCCACGAAGATAGGTCGGGAGGGGGGCAGATGGAGATACCCACTGGATACGAGGCTGCAAAGAAGAGGAAAATCTTACCCTTGCCGGGAATCGAAACCCAGTCGCCCATCCTGTAGCCCGCCTCTACGCCAACTCAGCTGTACCGGCTCCCTATAATAAGTTCCCTTAACCAGAAAATGATGTATTCAGTTTTATAGCACATATTCCAGACTCAGGAGTTCTGGGGTTCAATTCCCGGTAGGGGCAAGATGTATCTTTTTCTCCACAGCGTCCAAGACCGGGTATGGGGACCGGGTATGGGGACCACCCATCTTCCTATCATATGGGTACCTAGGTCTCTATCCCTGGGAGGGGGGGGGTGATAAAGCGAACAGAGCGTAAAGCTGACCACTCATCTCCGTCTACTACTGAGGTCAAGAACAGTGCAGCTACACTTCCACAACCCCATACGTCTTCATGGCATAATGTCTCACTTACGGGGATAACATTATAAAAATAATAAAGCGTATTATATATCCGAGGAACGTAGAGAAAGCCGTGAAAAATTCTGTTTATATATATATATATATATTTCAAGAGTGCGCAGTATTATAGAAAATGTCAAATCTGTTTAAGAATTCTTATTAATTATTAACATAATATTAAAAGACTTTACATTCCGTGGCTTTAGTCCGCAAGCGAACCATACCGACCGAGTGACCGCCGCCCCTCGGCGAAGCTAGTGCCAACCTTGGCGGATAGAGGGTATCGCGTGTTCAGCGCAACCGATCCCCACGGCTGTTAATCTCGGTTTTCTAGACCGGAGCCCCTATTTCCTTTAAACAGTTTCTCAATTATCCTCACGAGGCTGAGTGGACCCCGTTCCAGACCCTCTACTTCTAGAAAAATCTGGTAGCGCCGGGAATCGAACTCGGGACCTCTGGATATATAGCCAGGAACTCTGACCACTAGGCCACAGAGGCGATCTATATTAAAATATACAAACTGAAAATTGAACTACTTCGGAAAAGATACCGGTAGGGCACAGGAGTTTGAGAATCGGTTATCTACAGCCAATTCCTTTGATCTGCATTAGTTTGGGCTTTATTTCACAACTTCTTTAAGTAATTAAACACCACGCCATGAAGACATATGGGAAAATGGAGGTACAGCTCCCCCATTTTTTATCTTGGCTCCAGCTGGAAGTGAGTGATTTGTTCGCGCCCCTGCCGTTTTAATCCCGGGGAAAGTGTACCCAGTAAAAAAAGTAAAGCTATCCCTGTAACAGGCCGTGAAGGCCCATAGGGTTGTGAGACGTTGAGGGTCCCACATCTTCTAGACAATCGGCTGATAGATGGCGGTAAGGTTGCCAACCTTACGCGCCGGACGCGCTTTACTCCCCAGGAAAATTATTTAATTAATTCCTGGTACTCATTTCTGTTAGAGGCTGAGTCGACCTCAGGGCAATAGTGCGGCTGGAAGAATTAGGTTAATTGAAAAAAAATCCAATGACCTCATCGGAACTTGAACCCGCGACCTTCCGACTTGTAGCATAGTGCCTCAACTAACTACGCTACCGCGTGCCCCCAAGTGTACCCAGTACCGATTGGATAGGAGGCTGGGTGGGTCTCAGAGCCGGTCTTGAAGTTATGGAGAAGAGCTTCTTGCCCCTGACGGGAATCGAACCCCGGGTGTCCATCTCTAGCCCGTCCCTACACCGGCTGAACTATCCTGGCTCTCCATCAGTCCGCAACGCCGCCAGTATCTCACGCTACACAGCGTCAAACGGTAAAGTCAGTTGAAATGTGCAGTACATCCAAGGTAGCCGTCTAATTGTGGTACCAGCAGCGAATTTTCCAGAAGGGCTGGGGAAATTCTTTAAGGACTTCAATCAGGATGGCTGATGTCCTGGTTGAGATTGGAGGCGAAACTCCGGAACACAATTCAAGAGAGTTACCGCTATGCCAGCCTTGTCCAGTCGCATTACTAGGACAAATTACTCTCATGGAACTGAACCTCTCTTGAGAAGCTGCCAATTGTGCAGCTATTCAAGAATTTCCCAGCATTTTATGGAACCCGAAGGTTCATTACCGTGTTCACAAGAGCCCTCCACTGGTCCCTAACCTCAGCCAGATCAATCCAATCTATCCCATCCTATCTGAGATTCATTTTAATAGGGCAAATTACTATGTAATCTTAATTAGAAAAGGCGTGAATATATACACGAAACTGAAGGTACTGATTGTGTAACAATACTGAAAGCATAAGCTAGCAGCTCCTTGAGCCCTCAACCATTTCCCATTTTAAACCAGTAGGCAACACAGCTCTTGGAACAGTGGAAATTGTAACAGAGGTGTCTAGTTACTTTGAGAACACGTGTTCTAATTAAACACTACGCCATTAAGGCGTATGGGGGAGTGCATGTATAGACCCTCACTTAATGATTGTATTATGCAGTATAAATAAAACAGACAACTCTTTGTGTCCCTAATCTACAGCAACTAAGACTATAGACTTTTATATTATATGAAATGCATCTGTGTCGAGTAGTGATATTGTGTAGTTGCGTATTCAAGTGTAATTCTTAGCAATCAATGGGCAATACACACGGGTGACTCATCCCCACCTACGGCCTCGTATTTTTTAGTCTACTACTCATGAAAGTGTCACAATCATGTTACGCAAGAAAATAACCTGTTTTAGTGACTATCTTGTAATAAAATAGGTTAGGTTCAATGTGTTTCGATGAATTAAGCTTTTTACACAAACACCTGCTATCAATAATTATTCGTAAGTGCAACGTCATGCAAACGAAATTAAATAATTTGAGTTAATAAGGAAAGCCTTCCTACAGGATAAAGGCACTAGATGTTATTACTTACCTGTTGCAATACCGGCATTTAAAAATAATCTTTAAGTTCATAAACCTGTAAATTGTTAAAATTTTAAGCCACTGTTAAACAACGCATAGCTATCCAGTCTGTATGCCTACAATACAAGGAACAACAATACTTGTATTAGTTTAAAACACCACCACTTCGAGATATCACAGACCTTACGTCTACCCCATTCAACGCACTTAACCACTGTGATCACATTCGTAGCGACTGCGGCTGCTTCCTGACGGGTTCCTTCCCGACCGTTCCTGACCGTCTCTGTCAGTCTATGTATTACTCCATGAGCATGCCCAGTGGCGACATGAAAGTTGCTGTTGTCATTGGCTGATACGGAACTAAGGAGGTAGGACGTTTGTACTTCAGAGCGGTTTTGAGCGTTCTGAGTATGTTGCAGTGCGTTGAATGCTAACCGTGCTTCCTACAACTAATGCATAACGCAGTCTTGGTAACGAAAATTATACCTATATTTTGCTTATTTAACGACGCTTTCGGTAGCTTCTGTTCAGGGCCACGCAAGCCTAAATACTGCCCAACAAGACACGGGAGCCTCCAACATTTCCTCCAAGAGGGGAAACCGCATTTTAAGTAAGGGGCAGGCAGAAAATTTGCTGATAAACTTCCTATGGGACTATTTTTACTGATAGTCCTATATATAATACTACAGACAGAAGAACAATTTAAATCATGCTTTTAATTTAAATTATTAACATTTTGTATAGTTCCGTCTTTCCCGATTTTGATTTTTCTCCAAATTCAGGCGAGGAGGGAAGATGACACCCAAACGTCGGCGCTCCCCCCCCCCCCCACTAAAAAAAAAACAATTCTTCTACACAAACTCGCACACCCCACAACACAACT